AGTGCTCTGCAGTTTTCCTGGGGCTACTGAGACATGGTGCGAAAACTGAGATAGGTAGTTGCACAACCATCTGTGACAACTAATCCAGTGTTTCAGATGGACTCGAGATGGACCAACTCCTTTGATGCTAAAGCGGATTATAGCGCTGGCAACGTCGACATTGAAAGTGCTCGATATGAACTATGAAAATGATAAAAGAATAGACATTGAGGTATGTTCATTAACAGTTGGCGAAGAAAAAAGCTCTGGCACAGCGGAAAAATTGACCTGAATTGGATTAATGTGGTCTACTAATTATTAATTTTTCGAAGCCCAATTCGTTCTAAATTAGAAATTAGTATCATGTTTGATAAAGTTAATAATTTTCGTGTCTCAGTCTGCTCTTTCGTCTGTGGATATGTCCATCTATGATGCGATAATTGAAGTTTTTCCAAAGATGGTGGTTCGCAAGGAGGTCGTGCATGAGCAGCCGCAAAACGTGAAGGTAAGTGTAGAGCTGTTTGCTTTCTGCATTGGTGGACTGATTTGCGACTATTGCAATGGAAACTTGTAGCGCCTTATCGGAGTTCAACCATAGCAATCAATTTTGATCACCTTGCCGTGAAGAAATGCTTTTCAAGGGTTTTTATTGATTGCCGATCGAAGTTCAGCCTATGAAAAACACTTGAAGAAACGCAACCACGAACTGTGGTTGGAAGGTCATAGGCTTATTCATTAATCAATTCTCCACTCGTACACCCTCCTTTTGGGTATGTTTGGGAAGGGGAGCGAGTAGAACAACGGTATTTCATTATGTTCCTGTTCCTCGCCTGGATATCTTGTGCAGAGCGTACACACATTGAGGGGTTGATATCGAGCGCTAGGCTCAAGTGTTGAATCCGTACCAAGCGATATTCAGCCGAGATTTTATTATAGGCCTTACCGGTGGTGAACTTCGATCCTATAGAAGAGTTGGTCTACGAGCTGAACGCGCATTTCCAACATGTGGCGTTGTTCTTCTGGAATCGGTATGGTGGTGATCGGATAGGTCTTAAATGGAAGCCGCATGAGTTAGAGGTACCAGCCAAGGTAAGGATATTTTTGTTTTCGTGAGTCTTTATAATATTTTGCTATGTTGTAGTCGAAATCTTTGTATCTTCATATATTCCCTTGGTATCGGCTGTAGTTACTTGAAGTCTACTTTTATACCTTTTACCAAGTTAGTATACAATCTGGTAGAGTGTGAAATGTAAGCTACCAGAAGGAATAGTGAATTATTCGCGATTGAGGCCAGTTTTCAGATATCCCCGATGTTGTTCGCATTATGCCGAAATGGAGGAGCATCTAGTCTTTTACTGAATAAGGAAGAGGTCTTAGAAGGAATACGAATATTGGGTAGAGGAATTGTTAAAGATATTCAATGTAAAGCGTGATATGCGAGTATTTCTACTTTTATATTTGTTGCCTATTTTGTTTTGTTGCAGTGTTTGTTAAGATTCTCTCGAATTTTTACACTTGTAATATTTGATTAGCAGTAGTGAGCGGTAATTAGTCTGTTATTGATTTCTTGTTGAATGTACGTATATGTTCCGAACCGTGTTTTTGTTTAGACCGAAGTGGATATTGCACCCCTGCCCAACAGGGTACTATGCTAGTGAACATTAAAAACCTTTGGGGATTTTTGACCCCGCATTTAAGAATATTGGTCTGCTAAAATTGGAAGTTTTTGTTATTTTTGTTACTCTGAGAACATCAGGCATAAGTTGTTGATTTATTATTGTTGTTGATCGATTGTTAAACTTCGAAAATTGTTACTGATCTGATTAAATTTTTTTCATCATGTTTTTTGTGAATGCTTTCCCATGGTTTTGCCGGCCACTATTTCAGATAATTATCCGAGATTTTATGATTTACCCGAACTTTCGAGGGCATGTCCCCTCAGATGAGAATTCATTTACGATGTTTGATTTCCCAGTGCATTATTTTTGAGGCATCATTCCGATTTAAGATTGTCGTCAGGGTGATCCAATGGACGACGTAGACGCACTAGTGGATCAGCTAATTGACACACAGGTGGATCCTACGGCGCTGGGTATGGTATGGTTTTGTAAGAATTTATAGCGGATGCTTGATCATAGTATTTCAAAAACTTTGTGGCTCTCCGCATCTTATTGAACGAAAATCGTCAGAACTTCATTTGGCAACCTTCGGTCCTTTGAACCTTTTATCAGCTCTACAAGAGCAGCCATCGGCTGAAATAATAATATTACTCGAAAAAATAAGGTGCGAGAGAGCAGAGCTCACTCAATCTTGTGAGTTGTTGCAAAGTTGTGGGAGAACCATCACTCTAGCTCGAGCATTAGCAAAACATCCACCTCAGGAGTCCAAGAACTGGATTGGGGCCGTGGATACTGTCGCTGGAAGAGTTTTATTGAGAGTGTAGGGTCCTATAGAAAACAAGGCTCTTTAACCTCCTCTTATTTAGACGCTTTTATTTTTGAGATCCCAAGACAAACTTCTTGACGCCCTTTTTTCACTTTCTTCAACTGATACTTGAACCCGTTGCTTCTTGCTTAGTTAGCATATTTTGAAATCCTTTATCGTTCCTGGGCTTTCTGATTGTTTGTTAATTGAAGTACTCCCGACTATCATATGTAAACATGTCAAATCTGGCTAAGCAAAGGTTCTGTTGCCTATTTCAAACACCCGATATGAAAGGAATGCTTGACTCAAAGTTGACGTTATTTAACCAAATATAAATATCTGTCAGCTTTTCAGGCGAACATCCACGGTTCAGCAAGTTCAAGAACGCAGGACGAGCTGCTGAGCAACAGGCGCGGCGTAGGGAAGATGTGAGTTACTTGGTTTTCTTGGTAGCTTCAAGTACTCTTGAAAAAAGTCCTCTGTTGTTCCATAGGCATAGCAACTCCACGGGGTGTCTTTGTAGTAAGGGGGAGGGGTACCGTAGCACTGAGTTCGAGTTTGTTTATAACTGTCCGACCTGTGTGCTGATTTCCATATCAGAACCCACTGCTGTACTTCTAGGCAATCGAAAGGCAACGTAACAGCCGTTTTGATCATTTT